CATTCCTACTGAACAAATTTATGACTCGCAGAGTTCTGAGAGGTCTAGTACTCCCGACAATCAAGCTCTTCAAGATCTTCTACTTCCACTAGATCTTCCTCTTTAAGATCTTCCCTCAAAGACAACTTTTCCTTGGAGGATGACCTTCCCCTTGAGGATCTCTCTTAAGTAAGACATACTCTAGGAGGAAGACCTTATCATCGAGAATGACCTTCCCTTTGAGGAAGACCTTCCCCTCGAGGATGACTTGTTTTCAAGAAAGACCTACTCCATGAGGAAGATTTTATCATTGTGGATGATCTTCCTCTCGATGACGACTCTCTCAAGAAAGACTTGCTCTAGAAGAAAGACCTAATAATTAAGGATGACCTTCCCCTTGAGGAAAACCTACCTCTCAAGAAGGATCATCCCTTGAGGATGACCTTCCCTCTGAGGACGACCTTTCCCTCCGAGCTTCAAGGATGAACTTCCCCTAGGAGAATGACCAAACGTGTTGCACCCGTACAAGGATCAACTTCCCACCATCAAAGAGTCGCGTCTCAATGGAAATCTCCAAGATGTTCTTAATGGCCGAGCTAGGCAATCAACATCTCAACTATGAGGTCAAACTCGAAAGATATTAGATACACGCTCAAGGAAAAGGCAAGACTATCCTAACTATCAATGATGGCGAGCAGAATGAGCCCCTCTTCCATCAAACAGCTCATCCCTGCCTAAAGAAAAAGGTTCCATCAAGATAGCTCATCCCCACATAGAAAAAAGCTTCCATCTTAGCTCATCCCCGCCGAGCTCATCCCTGCCTAGAGGGAAGAACTTCCATCAAGATAGCTCATCCACACATAGAGGAAGAGATTCCATCAAACAGTTCATCCCCGTTTATAAAAAGAGCTTCCATCAAGATAGTTCATCCCCATATAGAGGAAGAGCTTCTATCTCAGCTCATCTCTGCCTAGAGGAATAGCTTCCATCAAGACAGCTCATCCCTCCATAGAGGAAGAGTTTTCATCAAATAGTTTATCCTCACATAGAGTAAAAAGTTCCATCTTAGCTCATCCTCGTCTAGAGAAAGAGCTTCCATCAAGATAGCTCATCTCCATCTAAAGCACGAGCTTTCATCAGATAGCTCATACCCGCCTAGATGATGAGCTTCCATTTGAGCTCATCCCTACCTAAAATAAGAGCTTCCAACAGACAGCTCGTCCTCATCTAGAGGAAGAACTTCCATCATCTGATCATATTTAAGCAATCATGACAGACCCAACTTAGGTGCTGCCGACCTATACTCCAATGGGAGCCACCAAATATAAAGTACACATGTTATTCTTAAGCACCTAGCTTAAGCCAAGATATGATCTTACCCAAACCCCTAAGCGCCCAGCTTAGGCCGAGCTTCTCTAAGCTCTTACCTCAACCTAAGCACCTAGCTTAGGTCAAGCTTCTCCAAACTCTTACTTCAAACTCCTAAACGTCCAACTTAGGTCGAGTTTCTTCAAACACCAAACGTAATCAACATGGCAAGCCTAAGTTGAACATCTCAAAGCGTCAACCTTAAGCAAAGTGTCATGAGATATTCTTAAGTGCTAAGTCTCAATGGTCATACCTTACAAAGTAAAGACCTTGACCCAAGTTCTCAAAGTTGGCTCAAGTCATGACGGTCATACCTTAGAACAAGAATGACTTTGACCAAACTTCTCAAAGTTGGCTCAAATCATGACAGTCATATCTTAGAACGAGAATGACCTTGACCAAACTTTTCAAAGTTGACTCAAGTCGTGACAATATACCTTAGAACGAGAATGCCCCTAACCAAGCTTCTCAAAGTTGGCTCAAGTCGTGACGGTGAGACCTTACAAAATGAGTGACTTTTACCAAGCTTCTCAAAGTTAGCTCCTGACCAACTGACCTACCAGTCAAGTTATTACTAGAGACACAACTATCCAAGTACGAGGATGAGCTACTATGATCTGAGTGTCATATTAATCTATTTGCTTTCCAACAACTATAATCTCGCCAACTTCGAGTACTCCAAGCTCAAAAGATAGAAGTTACCACTTAGGCGGATTTTCAAACCCAGGAAAAACTTCTCTACCAGGTCAGACTCGGACCAGCAGAGAGGGGGCCAATGTTTAGGGGTGAAAATCATACTGCCACGTGGAGGACAGAGAGAGGTCCAACTTACAAGATCTTTCCTGAAGGCCAACCTAAAGGTCTTCTCTAAAGATCGACCTCGTTAAGGTCTTGCTTGAGGACTGACCTGAGGGTCTTCCTTTAAGGCCTACCTGAAGGTTTTCCCTAAAGACCAACCTGATCAAGGTCTTGCCTAAAGGCCGACTTGAAGGTCCTTTAAGGCCGACATGAAGGTCTTTCCTGAAAATCATTCAAGGGAGGAACGACCTTCTATACTTAGCTAAATTCTAGATGACAAGCATATGAACTGGAATAGCTACTTCTGACAGGCCGCCTTCGGTCCGACATGCCCAACCACTGGTCGTATTCCTTGTCGGGTAACCAAACTTATAAATAGGGCACTTCACTCTTCAGCCAGACATCGTATTCTAGATGGGTCTCCATGCTAAGGTCGAACTCAAAACTGACTTAAGCGTCGAAGTGTTTGGGATATGTTTCTTTAGTTTTATTTCTTCTTGTTTTTCCTTTTTCCTCATTGCCAATTTCATATTATGGTTGCTTGAACTATTTGTAACATGAGATTTTATTGATTATATGTGTAACATGTTCATTTAGATTATGTGTATGATATTTGACAAATGTATGTATTATGTAATATTATACAATAAATGTTATTTTTCTTGAATTTATTAAATATCTTCAACTCAAATTTTACAAAAGGAAATTTTCCGACGATGGAACCTTGAAATGTTCTGGAGGTCGATGTTCTTGGATTCTTGAGGGTAAAGATCGATATCTCGGGAGGCTAAGATTTGATTTTAAATACGTTTTCCTAAATGTGTAATTTTAATCAATATGGTTTATCCCTATATTTTGCAAAGAATTAATTGTTTTTCACACTTTTTTTAAAAAATGGTTTATCATTTTAGGCCAATAAATATTTTTTCTTTAAAAATTTTAAAAGATCTTTTTTTTTTGTTCTTGTAAATCTTCTTTCGGTAAGAAATTTTGTTTTTAATAAAAACAGTTAACTAAAAAATGTCTTTTATAAATGCATTTCCTCCGAAAAAACTCAACACTTTTAAAACATTTATGATATTTCAAAAAATAGCAAATCAAATCTTTGTCATTAATGTTTTTCCTAAAAAATTGTCGTATGACGGAAACATGTGATAGAAATTTAAAAGGGCAGCGGGCTACAACCAGAACTGATGTGGAGGGGCGGCGAGCGGTAACTGTGCAGTGGGCGGATGATGGGGGCGGTGACTATGCAATGGGTGGACGGTGGAGCGGCGGAGCGATAAGAACTTGAGTGGGAGGAGAGATGGAGGAGTGGGCGAAGCGGCAACAATGGAGCTTGAGTGGAAGGAGAGATGGAGAGAGCTTGAATGGAAGGAGAGATGGAGTGTGATATTTCATTCAACTTGACAATTAATGGTGTTCCATATTTTTATTGACATTTTTGTACATCAACTCGAGTGGAAGGAGAGCGGTGACAGTGTGATATACATCGGACGAATATCAGATATATACCGAGCGTATATCAAATATATATCGAGTGTATATCAGATATACGTCATATATAAGATCAGATGTTATTAGGGTAAAATTGGAATAATAAAAATTTCGAAAATAAAAATTTAAATTTTTACTATATTTGCAAAATAGAAAAGAGATTGACATTTTTGTAAATATGTATAAAAATTTAGCTATCCAATGGAATGTCCCATTAAAATTTGTGTTGGGGAGTGAAATTTATCTAATTTTTAATATTAAAAAGTAATTAATTAAAATGAAGTGTATTTAATTTTTTAATAAGTGAATTAATCAATTTGTTTAATTTAAATAAACATAAATCAAACTCTAATTAATTTAAAATTCTCCATCTCTAGAGGATCTAGGTGACCATTTCTGTCAAGTTTTGTACGGGTAACAATGAAAATACCCATATCTAATATTATTTTGATTAAGGACGAAATGTTTGAGATATTGCAAATATGGTCAATCACATCTTTATCTGATTGAGCCAGGTTCAGATTGACGTGGGTTCGGAATAAGAAGTTTTGAGTTGGGAGTATCTCCATCCACTAAGAGGTATATATATATATTTGATTGTATTATCATATTTGATTTCATTAAAATCGATATTATTTTTTTGTTTAGGTCAGCAGGAGATCGCAAGTAATTGATTTATGGGTTTTTTTTCTCTTTTTTTTTTTTGGGTTGGGTTAGTGGTTAAAGCATACGTTATATTCTCTCTTTTTAGTCATAGTTTGTGTAAAAATTAATGCAACGTACAAATTTGCCCCTTCTTAGTTTGCAAATGTACAGGACTATTTTAATCTTATTTAGTCACTAAAATATATAAAGTTGTTATATTTTTTTAATTAACAGGTAGAAGAAATTACTTTTAATCAATCACCGTTTCTTTTTTAAAAAAAAAAAACAATCACTGTTTATTAACTTATGAAGATTCTAAAAATCAAATAAATCGTTTAAACATTTTTTTTTAACATTCAAAACCTCAATTCAACACAATTGTGACAAAAAAAWTTGACGGTAATATACTACTATCACAATATATTAATATATTGTTAGTAAATTTATCATGAAAGAATAAAAAAGATTTAGAAAAATTATAGTAAATGACATAAAATAAATATGTATTTATAAAACGATAATTATTTTTTATTTTTTCAAAAATATCTTTAAGGTTAAAACCAATGCCATAGATAAAAATACATATTACTGTTGTGCTACTGATTTTTTCTTGACAATTTTCAACCATCGTGAGTTTTTCATGACGATTAACAAATCTAGCATAGTTGCTTGTTGAGGAAAAATCTAAAAAAATTATTCAGAAAAAAGGAGAAGAAAAGAAAAACTAGAGTATCTAAACCATTATCCTAGTAAAAAACTAGAGTAGCTTTCCATTAACCTAACAATTTCTAATAGTCATTTGATGGTCTAGATTGCATTTTAAAAAATAAACTATCAAAGATTTATATACATCATCTAGAAAGGCAAAAATATCTTGCACGCATGGAGAGAATATATAATAATGCAATCACCTTCCTGTTTTTCTCTTCTTTCCACGTCTCCTTTCTTCAGCTTCACTTTCCTCGGAGCTGGACGACTCTGATTCCGACTCGGAAGCAGTTGAGACCGACGAATCAGAACTTTGAGAATCGTCATCAGGGTCAGATGCTGGTTCTTGCTGCTGTTGCATGATTAGGCGTGGCATATTCTTCAAGTATTCTCGCAAATTCTCTGTGAGACCACCAAGCCCAATAGACGTGAAGAAGTTGATAGAAAACCTTGTGTTCTTTGGATTATCCCTAGGGAAAATGGATTCAAACGAATCCTGCATTGTCGGGTCCGTGAGACGTTCATTCAACAGTTGAATGCCCAGATGCTCTGACAGTTCCTGCATCCCAATGAACACAAAATTAACATCCATCTCCCAAGCAATCTTCTCAAAATTGATGATTGACTGGATAATTGACTGGAAATAATACCTGGAAAAGGATCTTAATAAAAATACGAGAGGAAGATGTGGTGTCTTCTTCGGTTAGGCGAATGTAAGACAAGACATGCCATGGGAGAGCATCCGTGCCGAGAAGGTGCGCGAAAAATTTGGCTACATTACGTAGCTTATTAGTTTCAAGCCTATGAATCATCGAATACTGCTGGACGAAGCATCTCTCAAAATTTTCCTGATACACTTTGTTGATCTTGCAAAATCTTTGCCCCAACAGACCATAATATCGAAGGTAAGTTCTCTCCTGGCTGCAACATTCCAACAGCATGACACATAACTCTATTTCTTGACCAGGCTCGAGTCTAATTTTCAGAAGCTTATGCCCGGCCTCCTCGAAGTCTACACTGGACATAATTGTCAGATATATTGTTCTTCTGAGGTTCACCAGATTGGTCTCTGTTTCATCATTTATTTGCATCTGCTGCTCATCATCTTCTTCAGAATCATCTTCGTCGTCCTCGTCTTCATCATCTGATCCAACAACCGACTGATCATCCTCATCCTCAGATTCCTCGCCAAGTATATTTTTCTTCAAATCCTCATAACGCTTCTCATTGTCGAGGAAATTTGGATCAGCTTTGAAGATATCTGACAGCAAGACAAGAAAATAATAAATGCATAATAAAACAAACATCATGAGGACGCCAACTTTGATTAATTGATAAAGCATGTACAAAATTTTATAGAAATAGATACCTAGAGCAATCTCAGGATCTATCTCTTCTGCAAGAGAGATTTCGTGAGTTAACTGATCTTCTTGCTCTACAAGGTCCAGCTCCGGACGAACAGCTGGATAGCCCTGAATCAAATCCAAAACGTGTGAATTTAAAAGTGAATAAAACAATTGCTGCTGCCATACAAAGAAGCCAGACATGTATGCTTGAGAACAAACAACTTAGGTATCTTTTTCTTATCAGAAACCAAACTTTTCATTGAGAAAAATGAAAAACGTTATCCATTATGTATCAAAGGAAATAAAGAATTAAAAGATGTGTTACTTTTTGCAAGTTACCCAACAGCATACCGAGAACATCAAGACTAACTCTATATTCCTCCCCATTTTCCTAATCTTTTAGGTATTGTTTTAGTTGGTTTATTACCCCTTTTTTTATTCTTAATACTTTTTTATTTTATAAACTTTCAAACAAATATTACTCCAACCAAAATTGTACATGTTCTCTAATACGGTAATATTAGGACTACAAAACTTTATGTTCTTATGTTTTTTTCCTTTTTTATTTAAAATGAGGCTTATGCCTCACACCCCTTAAGACTTATGATTCACCTCTTGATGAGGAAAATCTTCGAGGCACCTTAATCCTGTTAAAACATTCATAATAAATTAATCTTCTAACATAGTCTTCCAAAGATTTGTGAGCTGTCACTGTTAAAACATTCATAATAAATTAATCTTCTAACATAGTCTTCCAAAGATTTGTGAGCTGTCAATACAATTACTGCATTTCTAGATTCTGACTTGAAAAAAGAGAACCTTTTAGACTAATAAGGGGGAATAACTGAGAGAGTGACTATACCTCGAACTTTGCTTTCCTGATTGCAAATAGGCCTTCGATCAGAAACTGAACCCTTTTGTCTATTTCTCCTTCATGAAGAATTCCCCGAAAACGCTCAAATATTCCTACAATCATTGAATAAGAAATAAAGAAAAATGAATAAACAAACTTGGGGTAAAATAGGTATGGATCATATGGGGATTTTTTAAGAATAAAATTACATTAAAAAACAAACTTATTTTTCAGATAATAAGGATTGAAGAAGATATTCTTATTAATTAATCTAATCCTCCAAAGAAGAGGGATTCTGAAGAAAAATGTTCTAGTAACTTCAAAGTTGGTAATCTTCTACATATGATATAAGATTTCCCAGAAAGCCAAACGAGGCATGGCTAGACGATGATAATTTCATGAGACAGATCCATGACAAACAAAAATCAACAAACATTGTGACTGCACACGAGATACTATCTCGGAGATATATCAAAGATTCAAAATAAAGTAATTTCTTACAAGCTGCATATAGCACATATTTTACAATTATAATCTTTTTTTTTTTGTGAAAGAAACAATTTTACAATTATAATCTTTGAACTAGATATTTCTCTCAATCTTCTATCCAAGAATTATGTCTTTCTTGATACCACGTCAAGAAGTTAAAAGATTCTATGATGTATTAATACGATTGAATATTTCCAAAATCAAGAGATAAGAAATAAATTTGTACAAAACCTCATAAAATGATAATAGCATACTCACCATGAAGCCCTTTAGGTGAAAGATCTTGTAGTATTGATCCACAATCGGTCACAAAACCAACCGCGACCTCAACACTATCATCTGTGGGATTCTCCAGCAACACAGTCAGAAGCTCTAGTGCAATTATTTCATGAGCCACCTGTTGGTTCACTAGATGTGCTATAAATTTTACAGCAGCTAGTAGTTGATGCTGTCAAAGATAAATAACGCAATAAGGATCAAATAGAAATTTTAAAATATAAAATCTTACAGAAATTAAATGGAAAAGGAAAATAAATTACAAACATCACCAAATATTACCTTGTCATTCCTTTTATATGCTCTTTTGAGCTGCAATACAATTCTTCTTAATAGAAGTTCGCCCACTTCTGGAAACTTAGTATTCACAACAGCAACCAACGCAGCAAATACGTCGGTGAACCCTGGGGATGCCATTTGTGACTTCATACAGGAGCGGCAGAATAGACCCCTACCCCTGATTAGATTCTCAGCAAATAACTCCGGAATTATATTCTTTATATTAGTAGCATTGACCTTGTTAACAAGACCATTGATACTCTTTCGTAGTGCGTCCCATGTCAAACGTTGGTATTCAACACTACTCTTGTCTTGGACCTCCTTCATCATTCGGGCCAACTTAAATGGTGGAATGTAAACGCCCCCACTCTTACCCAAATTTGAAGCATCAGAATTCAAATGGTTTTCAGACAATTTTTCCTCCCTGTGAGGTGGATGGTCAAGATGCTTCCTCTGCCTATCTTTGTCAGTCAAATTCCTTCGATGTTCTGATTTTCTGTCCAATTCCTTGTCACGCTCATCTTCTGAATCATGACGCAAATGGCGTTCCATATTTTTATTCTCGTTCTCAGCTTCACGTTGCCTACGTGCATGCCTTTTCTCTCGTAGTTTGCCTTCATCAGAACTTTGATATGATTCTTTCCGGTCTCCTCTCTCTTGTTCTCTATGTCGATTTTTGTCTTGATGCCTTCTATCTCTATCATGCTTCTTTCTATCTCTGTCTATTCTCTCATAACCTTCGTCAGGACTCCGTCGAGACGCATTCTTTCTTTCTTCCTCACTTTGCCACCTATCACGCATGTGCTCGTCATTTTTCCCACTAATTCTGACCTTATGCCTGTCATCATCATTATACACATCTTTCTTCTCAGGTCTTCTACTCCTATATCCTTCACTAGCACCAGAAGAATCGCTTTCATTTTCACGACGGCCGTGTCGTCTGGAATATCTTTTTCGACTACCATGGTGATGCTTATCTCCATTCTTTTTCAATCCATCATAATCTGACTCTCTATTATACTTCATATCCATACCACTGTCGGAGAAAAATGTATACTGCTCAGACAACACAAATATCCTTTTGGCACCAACCTAACGTCCCAATGCCTATCAGACAAAAAACATACGATCATCAGATTCAAATTAAAAGTAATTTAATATTTTTGAAATTAACATAGTACTCATAAGCAAAAGGTGTAACACCCCAAAATTTTCAGAACATTACTAAAACCATCCATTTAACTCAACTCAAAGAAGGAAATAAGACTGTTATTTACACTCGATGATAAACTTTAATTAACTCAGAGAAGTCTCAGCCCACAAAATCAATCAACTAAACAGAACGTTCCAACTCTCAAAATTTAATAACTCAAGGAAACCTTCAACCAACTCACAAAAGATACCCAATAATCCAACCTTTAACAAGAATTTTCACCAATGACCAACGGAACAAAAGAATCATCTAACCTACTACCTTGCCAACAAACTTAATTCAAAGATTTAAACATAAACCACCCAAATTCATGTAGAAATATCCTGAGCACGAATAACAGATAAGTAATAGATTAAACATCAAAATAACCAGATCACCTACCCCGAAAGCAAGTAGACAAGAGTCAAACCAAAATAAAGCAGGATTAATGCAGAAATGAACTGAGATAAATACGCACTACAGCGTCAAATACCTCGGACCACCAAAGTTGAGAGAAATCGAAAAATCGTTGGAACCACTGAAGGGTGAGGCAGATACAGATCGAGGTAGGGCGACGAAATTGTGAGGGAGCGTTAAAGTAAATGGATAAATACAGTAATCAATATGAGTGTCGCCGAATGATGCGGCTGCAGGTTCGTCGCCGGAGAGAGGAATCGCGTCGCCGGCGAGAGAGGGGGCTGTGACGAGGGAGGAAGGGAACGGAAACCTGCGGCGGATCGAGGGAGAGAATGAGGGATACGGGAGGCGACTATTTTGCTTGCGACCTATTTATGTTTTCCCCTTTTTTTTCTTTCCTTTTTCCGTTCTAAAGAGGATTTTAAAGATAATATCTAACATAATTTTAGGAAAGATTTAGGGGAAGGATTTGAATTTTTTTTTTTTTATCAAAGAAACATTGCATTACAAATAAATCGTACCACTAAGGGTTAAAAAAGGTGTGACAACGCATCACAAATAGAAGCCTTAAAATAAAACAATTATCCCAAATGACATAGAAACGATCATTACATTTCGCCAATAAAACAGATTGACTAACTAAGAATATGAACAAATTCTAGCCCACCAAACATTTTCTCCAATGCCACAACATCCACAATCTCATTTAATGATTTTGGGGGAGATTCTTCAATTAATTGAATGATATTGACAATTATAGCGCCTCTATTTAGAATTTGGAGAGAAATAATTGCATCAAAAGTTGTCTTATCCTCCACCATGACAGGTAAGGAAGGATTAGGCAAATTCTCAAAATCATGCTCATAAGGAATCTCAAGATAATTAAGATTGATAACCTCCACATATCTCAAAACGGTGTTCGAGCTGATCGCTGCCGCACCTCCATCGTTGCCCACCTTCTGCTCCGTCATCTTTGCCCCAGAACCATGTAAGTTATATGAACTAGAATACAAGGAAGATAAAGAGTCATCCCAAGAGATTACAAGCGGTAACACTCTCCAATTTTGTGCATGGTAACTCTTCAAAACGTCCTGATGACGATGTCATGGACCATACATAACGATGTTGGCTTTGATTTTGTCAACGGCAACAGTACTATTGACATCCAATGGGGAGATCCCCGACATCCAACCATTATCCGCCATAACATAAACTAGCGGGAAAAAATGATGCTCCCTGAAAATTGCACTCACAACAGCAATAGAAGTCCTCAAAATATCTTGATCCATACTACTTCCTACTTGAAAAAAACTACGAAAAACCTGAAACAAAGTAGAAAGGAAAACCCTATGAAAAAACTCAGCTAGAGGATTGAGAGAAAACACACCCCCTTAACGGGAAGGAGAAGGAGAGGAGGGGAGTAGGCCACTGGCCACCCCCTCCCCACTTTTTTCCACTCCCTTTTGAAAAAACTCAGTCGGCGTAAAGGATTTGATTTTGAAACCTAAATAATTTTTAAAATTTTGTATAGGATTTAATTAAAAAAATAATCTCTTTTCAAAATTCAAAAATTAAATTCGTTTAAACTATTAAATCCAAATTAAATTTTTAGTACAAATCCAAATTATAAGTTCTTAACGAGAAAAAAAAATTCTAATAATCTAAAGTAGGGGTGATTAAAAGAATTTGAAAAACCTACCCGACCAACTAAAATTGACCGAACCAGTATCGTTCGAAAAAACGATGGATTGGTATGACTGAGAAATAAAAAATCTACTGATCGTCCAATAATAAAATTATTTTTAAAAATCTATACTATATTAAAAATACACAATTTCTTCAAAACTGTTTTGGACAATAATACCCCTTATTAATTATAAACTCTATCAAATTTATTGTTTTTCATATGATTTTTTTTAACAGAAACCGTTGTTGTAATTATTATTACGATGAAATAGAAGTAAACCGTTTTTAATTTACTTATTATTGTCATTAGTATTATAATGAAATCGATGACTATTAAAATTCCACATGAATTATATAAATACAAAACATTAGAATCAATCACTCGAATATTTTTTTTTTATATATCCGTGTGTATGGACCAGTTTGCGCGCAACTCTGACTATTCAACGAGACACAATCTCTGAAAAAAAAAAATTGGACAATAGTACCTCTTTAATTTTTAATTAATTACCAACTGTATCAATTTTATTGTTGTTTATATGATTTTTTTTTTCAACATAAACATTGTTGTAATTATTATTACATTGAAATAGAAGTATTAAACCGTCTTTAATTTACTTATTATTGTCATTAGTATTATAATGAAACATATGGCTTTTAAAATTCCACATGAACTATATAAATACAAAACATTAGAATCAATCTCTCCAAATATAATTTTGGTGAAATAAGTTGTAACACAAGATTGTAGACAACAGATGGACTAATTTCGAATAATAGATACAAGACAATGTAATTGATGAAAGAATACTCGAAGGGGAAGGAAGGATGTTAGTAAACATATTAAGCATAAAGAAAGAGCAAGAGCGACGATGATGCCAAGAAGAAGAGATGATGAACACTAGTACGATGATAGTAGTGCCGAGCATAAGTGGGTAGCAACAACAAGCAACAAAGTGGTATCGACCATGAACACTATGACCGTGGTAACGATGAGAGTAATTGAAAACTAAAGATGGAGGGCAAGAGATGTTCATGTGGTTATGTGACCACATAGAGAAAGGAAAGATGGAATGAAAGGCAAGATTTGAGAGAAAGGTAAGGTTGGGTTTTGTAAATATTGTTTTAATTACAAAATTGTCATTAAATTTTATTTGTTTAATAAGAATGTTATTGAATGTGATTGTATATTTTTATTTCCTATTTATTCTTTTTAAAAAATATGAACTTGTATTAAAATATTAAATAGTCAAATATACATAACAATGAATTAAAATATTTTTTAATTAAAAAAACAATTGACTTGCAAAGATAGAAATAGTAATTATTAAGTAAGGCAATACATTAATTTCCAAATTTTCAAGAATGGTGCAAAGTTACATGCAATTTCCATTATCGATAACTTTCCACATTTAAAAGAATATTCCTCATACTTTAGTTTAATTTTGTAACGGATTGTTTTTCTTTATCATTCCCTTAATATTATTCACTCTCATAATTGTTTCTCAATAATTTGCATTTAATTTAGCCTGAACTTGTTTATTTTGCCCACCATGGTTCAAAGTAGAATTGGAAATTTTTTTTTTTCAAATTACAACGAGAGTGGGGTATTCAAACTCATGATCTTTTGGTCTATTTTTTTGGTCACATAATGAATTAAAATGTTTTTCAATTAAAAAAACAATTTACTTGGAAAGATGGAAATGAAATTATTAATTTAGGCAATACATTAATTTCAAAATTTCTATGAATGGTGCATTGTAATTTCCATTATTTATTTGACTGTTGATAATTTGAAGAAAAATTTTCTCCCTTAAAAAAATGAAAAATGATAATTTTCCATATTTAAAGAATATTCCTCCAAGTTTAATTCTGTAATCGATTTTTTCCTTTATAATTGTCATTAATATTATTCATTCTCAGGATTCTTTCTATGTAATTTGCATTTAAATTCGCCGCAACTTCCTTATTTTGTTCACGGTGGTTCGAAATAGAATTGAAAAAATCTTTTATGGTTGATGATTCAAACTCATGATCTTTTGGTCACATAATAGACCCAAATTACTTGAGGGAAGGTTAAGAATTGAAGAAATCTATTGACACATATACTATATCTTTTAAATTTTTTAAAAAATACCAATAATAACAAAGAACAAAAAACAAGCACGTCATACTTCTAAATTAAAATTAAGAATTTTAGTATTCTCAAAATATATTCCACGAAAGTTATTTAATAAAATAATACTAAATATTATAAGAGAGAAAAAAAAGTCACCTATTTATTCGCAAATAAATAAATATTTGATTGTATTTTTGCATATATTGATTAAAGAATAATTTGTTATTATAAAATTCCTACTTTGGTGACTTGAAAATATGCACTAATTAAATTCCTAAAAAAATCGTACTATCTGATAAATTTATTTCTAAAGGTTAAAATTAGTAATTAAAAAAACAAAATAGAAAAATAGATATAACAGTACTAAATTCATATGAGGTATGAAATTAAAAAAAGGAATTGGGTATATCTTCTTTAACCATTTTTTTCAACAAAATGTTTTTTAACCAATTGAATTAGGTTCATTTAGAAATTATTTTAATTTTTAGATAATGGAATAGAAACATTATTAATTAGCAACGTAAAGCCTAAAAACACAAGTCATATCAGAATAAACTTAAATTATAAAAACTATGATAATGTTATTTCCACAAAACATTTTAAAATTAGGTTATCTTAATTGTGAAAACATTTTCATGGCAAGATGAAAAGAAATCTCATACGCTTATTTGATATTCAAGCTTTAATTAAATTAAATATTGCCTGGTATATTAATATATTTTACTAAACTAATTAATAACTCAATTATATGGATTAAAAGTAAAATGTAAAATTAATTGATAGCTCAAATCTCACTCTCATACTTTTATATATATATAACAAAATCTCACTAAAAAAAATATAATGTTATATTCAAAGCAAATTTATGATTTTAAGATAACAATCAAGTTTTTTTTTAATACAAAATAACAATTAAGATAGTTACATCAAAATCACATAGACGGAGTTAACTTTAACATCAATGGGTTAAGACGTATATTATTGACCAAAATGTTGAGGCTCAATCCTTACCCCTATATGTTATTGAACTGAAGAAAAAAAATCACACTAGTAGATATTATAACATGTAAAATAAAAATATGCTTAAATGTTTTTAACTCCTAATGTTTGAGTTTTTACGTTTTAATTTAGTTATATTGTTTTAAAATTTTCAATTTGATCTTTTATACTTTTAGCATTTTTCAAGTTAGTCTATCGCGAATGGTGAACATTAAAATTGATTAATTATAAACTTACCTGGGATGAGATAATACCGAATGAATTTGTATAAATTTAGAGAATAAAAATATTATAATACTTAATAAATTGGCAAACTTGGAGGACAAAATTATTATAACACTTAGTGAATTAACCGAAATTTAAAGAAGAAAAGAGTATCATTTAAGAGAAGAAAATAACATTTATTTTAAATTTTCAAAAATTTGAAGGATGAATTATAGACTTTCTCTAAAATTATTTTTTTTCTCCTATAAATTTCCACGTATTTGCTAACTATGTGAATAGCCAATTTTAATAATGTTCACCAATAACAAGAGACTAAAAATATTAAGCATAAAAGACTAAATTGAAACATTTTAAAGA